CCCAACAACTACCGGCATAGGTGTGACATGGACATTAAACATGATCTTTGTTTTGTCCATGTTCATCTTAAGACCTATCCGTTGGGAAACACTATTGAGGTCATTGAGCATAGTGCTTAGGTCCTCCAGCGATTCTGCCATAAGGACTATATCGTCGGCAAATCGAAGGTGAGTGATGTACTCGCCATTGATGTTGATACCGTATCCTTTCCAGTCCAGAAGCTTGAAAACATCTTCCAATGCAGCGGTAAAGAGTTTCGGGGATATGACGTCACCCTGTCTTACACCTCTCTGCAATTGGATAGGTTTCGTACTCTGGTTCTGTACTCGGATAGCCATCGTAGCCCTACTGTACAAGCACTTCAACACTTCGATATACCGACAGTCAACTTGGCATCGCTGAAGGGACTGCAGCACCGCCCAAATTTCGACGGAATCAAAGGCTTTCTCATAGTCCACATACGCCAGACATAGTGGCAAATTGTACTCCTCGGACTTCTGTACAATTTGCCGAAGGGTATGTATGTGGTCTATGGTGCTAAAGCCTTTTCGGAAACCGGCTTGTTCGGGAGGCTGGAAGTCGTCAAGTCTGCGCGCGAGACGATTTGTAATGACTCTCGAAAACAGCACGTAGACGCGGCTCAGAAGGGAAATCGGTCTGTAGTTCTTCAAGAGAGCGTTGTCGCCTTTCTTGAAGAACAAGACCACCGCACTTCTGCTCCACGCCTCCGGTGTAATGCCACCATGGAGGACGGAATTAAAGAGCTTCTGAAGGACTTCAAGTACCGGTTTTCCACCCGCTTTCAGAAGCTCCGCTGTAATTCCATCCTCGCCTGGGGCCTTGCCGTTTTTAAGGTGCTGGAGAGCCATTCTAATCTCGCTCAGACTGACGTCCGGGATATCATCGGAATAATGTCGGATAAGACTCGCTCTTGGATCGTTACTCACACTTGCGTGCGGCTCCAACGATGACGTGTACAGCTGCCCATAGAACCTCTCAATCTCACTCAAAATCTCAGGTGCCCCGGAAACGATGCTGCCACATTCTGTCTTCAGCTTTGACAGTTGGCGCTTTCTGGCAGACAGATCTCTGGCAAAGACTTTGGAGCCTTGGTTCCGCTCGATCGCTTCTTCAATACGAGCTGTATTGAATTTGCGTAGGTCCCGCCGCATGCATTTGGAGATCTCTCTGTTCAGATGCCTGTATGCTGTTAAATCTGTTGAAGAATGTAGCTTCATCTCCCGTCTAACAGCCATGAGATTAAGAGTGTGATCGGAGAGTTTTTGTGTTCTTCTGCGGCGGGTCTTGCAGAACTTAGCTCCGACCGCATGGACAGTTTCCACGAGCTTGTCGTTCAAATCGTCCACTTCATTGCAGTCTTCTAGGCACTGAAAACGGTTTTGTAACTCGAGCTGAAAGGTTTCGGGACTTTGGATTAGAGCACGAGGGGGACGGAGCGTTGACTTCATTAGACGAGACCTCTCCAACTTAACGTTTAGGTTCAGTGTGCCTCTAACCATTCGGTGATCGCTGCCGGTTTTCACCCTCGCGATCACTGAGACATCACTGAACAGTTGTCGTCTGGTCGTCATAATGAAGTCAATCTCATTTTTTGTCGAACCGTCGGGGCTCGACCAGGTCCACTTCCTGTGGGGCCGCTTCTGGAAGAAAGAGTTCATCATAAAGAGTCCCTCTTTCTCCATGAAGTCGGCCAGCTGCTGGCCCCTTGGGTTCCGTTGCCCTATTCCAAATTTCCCTACTTTCAGCTCACCGTTCTCTCTTGTGCCTAGTTTTGCATTGAAGTCTCCCATTAACACCGTATATTGGATTTTGGAGGAATGCATGGCTCTAGAGATATCCTCATACATTTCCTCCACCTCCTGATCGGGGTGTGCCGAGGTTGGTGCGTAAACCTGTATGACCTTCAGCGAATACCGTTTGGTGATTCTGAGTATAAGGTACGCAACCCTCGTCGACACACTCTCAATCTTTACAACGTTGTTAACGAGAGACTTGTGGACGATAAATCCGACACCTCCTTGGGACAGATGGTCGCCCTCCCGGTAATAGAGCAAGTTGCCGGATTCGAGGATTACCGTGTCCTCCCCCTCTCTTCGGGCTTCGGATAATCCTATAATATGCCAGCGTAACTTGTCTATCTCTTCTTCCAGCTCCACAATCTTCTCGTCAGTCCTCAGGGTGCGTGCGTTGTATGTTGCCAGGTCGAGTCGTCGTAGGTGGCAACCGAACCTCCACCGGAGATTCTTAGCACCCCCTGCCCCGCCGTTACCATGGTCGCCACCGTAGCCAGGAATAGCGGGGCCGCCATGGACTGGGGGCCGTTTATTATTGTCATTGCTCATGGGGGGTATATTGCCATAGTTGCCACGCTTGGCGAGCGGGTTGGCAACCGCAGTTTTTTTTATTGTTATTTTGGCTATTATCAGGAAGATGCTGCTGCCCATCTCCTGCCTGTTTCCCTTTGTCGCCTTTTACGACACCCACGGGAAGATATGGGGTAGTGGATATTCTTAACCGCCACTACACGGCATAGGTACTGTAATAGGTAGTTGGAATTGGATTTCGTTGAAATTTGCAACCGACACATAAAACTGAAGGTACGCACCTGGAGAACGCCGTCAGCTTCTTTTCTTACTTGAGGTTGACACTCGCGTGGTACACTCCTAGTTTTCTTGCGCGATTTACACTTATTTTATACAATTCACGGCCGTGATTTTAAGCGTATGATAATTAAACAGATATGCGAGTCGCGAGCGTGACACAATATGCTTCCGCGTGCGGGCGTGTTCTTACTTAGACTTCTCCTTCTACCCGATTGTAGATCGCAAGAAGGAATTAGTGGAATTAATGAAGGTATTATAGAGGAAATTTGATTCGTCGATAAGATTGACCAAAACGCGGAATATTTTAATTTGAGAAATGGCGGTAACATTTCCCCCGCCCTTAAAGGGTCGCCTTTAAAAGAAAATAATAATAAGATGCGATAAATACAATTAATACTTACTAAAACTAAGCGAATATAAATATATATATATATATCATCATCATCATCATCACAGCCCTTCACAAGTCCACTGCTGAACATAGGCCTCCCCCAAAGAATGCCACAAAGCACGGTCCTGAGCCACCTGCATCCATCGACTTCCTGCATATCTTACCAGGTCGTCACTCCATCTAGTGGGGGGACGCCCTACACTTCGCCTGCCGGTACGAGGCTGCCACTCGAGAACCTTTCTTCCCCATCGGTTGTCGGCTCTTCGAGCTATATGGCCGGCCCATTGCCACTTCAGCTTACTAATCCGTTGGGCTATGTCAGTCACTCTGGTTCTACTGCGAATATCCTCATTTCTGAGTTTATCACGCAGAGCAACTCCGAGCATAGCCCTCTCCATAGCTCGCTGAGCGACCTTGAGCTTCCTCATCCGGCCAGCAGTGAAGGACCACGTCTCAGTTCCGTATGTCATCACTGGCAACACGCACTGGGTGTACAGTCTCGTTTTAAGGTTTTGAGGTATACCTGACGAGAAGATGTGCCGTAATTTCCCGAACGCTGCCCAACCGAGTTGAATCCGTCGATTGACCTCTCGGTCTAAGTTGGACTTACCTAGTCGGACTATTTGTCCCAGGTAAACATACTCGTCAACAACTTCGAGCTTAGTGTTCCCAACAACTACCGGCATAGGTGTGACATGGACATTAAACATGATCTTTGTTTTGTCCATGTTCATCTTAAGACCTATCCGTTGGGAAACACTATTGAGGTCATTGAGCATAGTGCTTAGGTCCTCCAGCGATTCTGCCATAAGGACTATATCGTCGGCAAATCGAAGGTGAGTGATGTACTCGCCATTGATGTTGATACCGTATCCTTTCCAGTCCAGAAGCTTGAAAACATCTTCCAATGCAGCGGTAAAGAGTTTCGGGGATATGACGTCACCCTGTCTTACACCTCTCTGCAATTGGATAGGTTTCGTACTCTGGTTCTGTACTCGAATAGCCATCGTAGCCCTACTGTACAAGCACTTCAACACTTCGATATACCGACAGTCAACTTGGCATCGCTGAAGGGACTGCAGCACCGCCCAAATTTCGACGGAATCAAAGGCTTTCTCATAGTCCACATACGCCAGACATAGTGGCAAATTGTACTCCTCGGACTTCTGTACAATTTGCCGAAGGGTATGTATGTGGTCTATGGTGCTAAAGCCTTTTCGGAAACCGGCTTGTTCGGGAGGCTGGAAGTCGTCAAGTCTGCGCGCGAGACGATTCGTAATGACTCTCGAAAACAGCACGTAGACGCGGCTCAGAAGGAAAATCGGTCTGTAGTTCTTCAAGAGAGCGTTGTCGCCTTTCTTGAAGAACAAGACCACCGCACTTCTGCTCCACGCCTCCGGTGTAATGCTACCATGGAGGACGGAATTAAAGAGCTTCTGAAGGACTTCAAGTACCGGTTTTCCACCCGCTTTCAGAAGCTCCGCTGTAATTCCATCCTGGCCTGGGGCCTTGCCGTTTTTAAGGTGCTGGAGAGCCATTCTAATCTCGCTCAGACTGACGTCCGGGATATCATCGGAATAATGTCGGATAAGACTCGCTCTTGGATCGTTACTCACACTTGCGTGTGGCTCCAACGATGATGTGTACAGCTGCCCATAGAACCTCTCAATCTCACTCAAAATCTCAGGTGCCCCGGAAACGATGCTGCCACATTCGGTCTTCAGCTTTGACAGTTGGCTCTTTCTGGCAGACAGATCTCTGGCAAAGACTTTGGAGCCGTTCCGCTCGATCGCTTCTTCAATACGAGCTGTATTGAAGTTGCGTAAGTCCCGCCGCATGCATTTGGAAATCTGTCCATTCAGTTGCTTGTATGTTGCTATATATATATATATATATATATATATATATATATATATATATATATATATATATATATTATATTACATAGATGAAAAGATGTAAGATGTGAGCGATGTAGAGTTTATTATTGTGTTGGTAACGGACACAAGCGCACCACTGGTCGCACGAGTATACCCCTTGCCGTTTTTACTGTAGCGACACGAACTATACCGTCCTTAGACGGGTGAACCTTTACGATCACTCCCAAAGGCCAGGAGAGGGTCGGTGAGTTTTCATTTATAATTATGACAACTGTGCCCACCTTTACGGGGACCGAGCATTGAGTCCATTTACGCCGCGCCTGCAGTTGATGCAGATATTCAGTTCTCCAACGACGCCAAAAGGATTGGACTAATTTATCTAAGAGTGTATGTCGTTGAAGTAAATTAATTGGCGAAGATTTCACATCAGGTGCAGGTAGAGAGCGTAATGGTAACGTATTCAAAAAGTGTGCGGGTGTTAAAGCCGTCGGTTCAGCTGGATCGGAGCTAAGCACAGTGAGAGGACGAGAGTTTAGTAAACATTCTATTTGAGCGAGGATTGTGATTAACTCCTCATACGCAAGGATCTGCTGTCCAATAACCTTAAAAAGATGGTTCTTTACACATTTTACCATACTCTCCCAACAACCACCGAAATGTGGGGCGGCAGGCGCTGTGAACTTGAATTCAATGCGACTTTCGGCCAATTCTTCTTCTAAACGCGGGCGGTATTCCTTTGTGACAAAATTATATAAATCTCGTAGAAAAGATCGAGTGCCTATAAAATTTGTTCCACGATCATAGTAAAGATATTTCACGGGACCCCGTCGCGATAGGAAGCGCTTTAAAGCTGCGATTAAACTCACAGTGAAAAGATCCGTGGCTACTTCTATATGGAGTGCGCGCGTAGTAAGACAAGTAAATATGCATAGGTAAGCTTTGCGAGTTTTAACACCTCGAGCTCGTATAGGCGTATACAATATAGGGCCGCAATAATCACAGCCAGTATGAGCGAACGCTTTCTCCGCTTGCGTGACTCTATGTCCTGGCAGAGCAGACATTAAAGGAAATCGCGGGCGCGGTTTTAATTTAAAGCAAGTGTTACACTTATTAATTTTAGACCGAATAATTCGTCTAGCGGACAAGATCCAAAATCGTTGTCTTAACAAAGACATGAGCAGCTCTGGGCCGGCATGTAAATATTTCTTGTGATAGTAGCCGATCAAAGACTCTACAAGAGCGTCATGACGCGGTAAAATAATCGGAAATTTGTATTCTGAACGAAAATTGCGGAGCGGAGTTGGTAAGGCGGCCACCAACGTGGATGAGGCCATCGCATAAAAATGGCTTAAGCTTCATTAGCGCGGGCGAGCAATTACTGTCTAATGTCGAATGCAAAATGTCTTTTTTGAATATCGCCTATTATCATATGCTCTGCGGCGCTTATATCGAACTCGGTAACTACTATCGAACCGGAACGGGGTAGTTTATTTATAAATCTGCAGACATAAACAAGGATACGCGTGAGTCTACTCCAGGAGGAGATGCGTTTATTAAGATCTTGAACTAAGGACGTTTCTGGATCTGACGTAGTAATGGGGTGTGCGGTTATTTTCTCTTCCGGTACGTTGTCTAGCGCTATAGTATTATGGTCTGTATTAGTGATAGCCCACAGCGAGAGGTCTTGCGCGAGCCAGGACGGACCTTGTGACCATAATGGATGAGATATTAGCCTTTCGGGTGTAAGACCTCTCGATAAACAATCAGCTGGATTATCTATTCCCGCAACGTGATGAAAATTAGCGGCTGGTAAATTGTCAATAATCTTGACGACGCGGTTAGCGACAAAAGTTTGCCAGCGGTGCGGAGAAGAGTTTATCCAACAAAGTGTGACCATTGAGTCTGTGAACGCGTACATATCACTAATATGATAGCGTGAATCGTAGGTGTCATGCACGCGTTTAATTAGTCTTGCCAGTAATTCGGCAGCACAGATTTCGAGACGTGCAATAGACAAAGGCTTCATTGGTGAGATCTTTGACTTGGCGCAGACGAGTCGCGTCGTAACCTGGCTTGCTTGAGTAATATGGGCGTATACCACTGCTCCATAAGCACGCTCACTAGCATCCGAAAAGCCGACCAGTCGTACAACGCAATGTTCGAAGACCCCCAAATGTCGCGGTATTTTGACGTCATTGAGTAGCGGTAACTCTATACAAAACCTTTTCCAGGTTTCGACTATTTGCTGGGGCGGACAATCGTCCCAATCAAGTTTCAATAGCCACAAATCCTTTATGAGAAGTTTAGCGAAGAGAACAACAGGCGCTACGAAGCCCATTATGTCCCAAATTCTAGCTACAGTGGCTAAAATGATTCGTTTTGAACACCTTTCGTCAAGCTTGGTTACTTTAAATTCAAAACAATCGCGAGATTTATCCCAACTCAAGCCCAAAATTTTAAATTGAGCGGTTTTATCAAATTCAAGAGGTTCAGACATCTTATATGACGAAGGTAGAGCGCTTAAGACCGAGTCGGAATTACATGTCCATTTTACTAAATCGAACTGCGCACCTTTAAATAACTCAATCAGCTCATTAGCAGCTGATGCAGCTTCTTCCTCCGACTTAACACTAAAAACGATATCGTCCATATAGATATAGCGAGAAGCAATTATCTTTGCTAGCCGAAATGAATCTCCATCATCCGCAATGAGTTGCTGAATGACATGGAGCGCGAGATACGGGCTGGACCTAAGTCCAAAACAAAACCCTATTAAATTCATATTCGGTAAGTTCTTATTGCGGGTGAAAACGAGATAACATGCGTTGAAAGCGACGATTGCGCTTATTCATTATAATTTGAAGGAACATCTGTTTACAATCAGCGGAAAGAGCGGTAGCGAAAAGACGAAAATTTAAAATAATTGCAAACAGATCACCTTGTAAATTGAGACCACTATGGAGAATGTCGTTCATTGAGCGGCCTGAACTCGATTTATGACTCGCGTCGAGAACCATGCGAAGTTTAGTAGTGGTCTTATCTGTACGCAAAACACCGTGGTGTGGTATGACGTAAACGGGATAGCAGTTATCACTGTCAACAAGCGGCGCGGGTGACAGATCGCCCTTTTCTAAATATTCGTGGATAACTGGGTCATACGCGGCCTTAAACTCAGGAGCGGCTTCAAACTTCCTCTCCAACATCAGAAAACGTTTCCGAGCGGTTTCATAAGTATCACCAAGCGAAAATATATCATCTCGGTAAGGCAACGATACTATGTATCTGCCCGTTTCTTTGTCACGTTCAGTGGTTTGGCGAAAGAAATGCTCACACTCTATCTCAGTCGGGGACTGAGTGGGCGGAGTTCTCAAAGGAGATTCATCTATTTGACAAAACCGTTTTACCAACGTATCTAGCGGGTCTTCCTCGGCGTGTGCGGGTAATGTACTACAACACGTCAAGGTTACGTTTTCGCGAGCGGGAAGAGCGGGCACAGTGCCCATAATTACGTAACCAAGCATTGTTTGTATAGCTGGTGGTACAGCAGAGTTATCCCTTACTATACCGGGCAATAAAAGTTGCGAAAATAAAGAAGCACCGATCAGAACATCAATCTGTGATGGCTCAAAGAATTTTTCATCGGCCAACGGCAAATCTTGTAAGAACGGCATAGCGGATGCGTTGACAGGCATAGACGGTAAGTCATCTGTTATTCTATCGACGACGAGCGACGAAATATTATATCTTATGTTAGGGTTAAAACGAGAAGTGAACTGGAATGCTACAACTCCCTTTGCGTATTTTTCTGAACCCCCGATACCCTTTACCTTTATGTTGTCTTTATTTACTAATAAACCTAATCTATCACAACATTCCGACGTTATAAAATTGCTCTGTGATGCACTATCTAATAAGCAATGCACACCACGGCTCGTGCCATACGCGTCGGGTACCATAACCGCTGCAGTGGATAGCAGAACCGTAGTGTATACATTGCGTGTAAATAAATCTTCGGATACGCAAGATTGCGTTGATAGCGGTGCGGCAATGGACGTTGTGCACAATGAAACGCTCTTGCTACGCGCATCGGGCGACGACGCGGGAGCAGCTGTTGTCGGTACGATCGCGCGCGTTGTTCCCGATGACTCGGCGGCGGTGGTCACAACGCGAGCATTAGCAGGTTTGAAAGCGTCAAAGTGAAGTAAACTATGATGTTTGCCTTTGCAAATTTTACATTTAGAGTTAGAGCTACAAGTCCCTGCTTTATGTATAACACTCAAACAATTTACGCAAGCGTATCGTTCCTTAGCATATTTATAACGGTCGTTTGCTGTCATTTTACAAAATGCCGGACACTTGTATAAATGATAATGCACAATATCCCTGCACAAACATTTGTATGCATCGGCCATAGCGACATAGGATTGCGGTTGTGGAACTTTTGCGGTGGGTCGGTGATTCGGGTTCGAATTCGAGGTCAAGCTCGAATGATAAGAGCGCTGTAATATATTAACTTGTTCCTTTACATAGTCGGTTAAACTTTTAAAATTAGGAATTTTATCCTTTCGAGAATGAATTTCAAAAGAACGAACTGTTTCGGGGTCTAACTTTTTTAAGGCGGTATGTAATATAATAAAATCAGTTAGGTCAGGTATTTGTAAGTTTTTTAATGCGCTAACCGCGGTTACGAACGTATGTAAAAATAATTCTAAGTTTCGAGCAGAAGAGTTAGAAACTGGTTTAAAGTCAAAAATTTGATTGATATAGGTTGATGCTAGCATGCGTTTATCATCGTACTTCTCTATAAGCGCGTTCAAAATAAGTTCATAATTCTCAGCACAAGGAGTAATACCGGCGAACACAGAATGCGTTTTGATTGTTAATTTACCTAGCAGGTAATACAATTTATCGGCGTCTGATAGAGACGGGTTATCATGCACAGTGGATTTAAAACTTGCATAAAATAAAGACCATGAGCGGATATCACCATCAAACGACGCTAGCTCTATAGGCGGTAAAGACGGTCGCGATATTGTGGCCGATCTCGGACATTCATTTGTTATTCGACTTGTAAGACGAGACACGTTTTATATGACAGTATAGTTCCTCGAACGCAACCCATGACTGATATTCCAACTTTGCTTCTGGGTAGACTTGCATATTATATAAATTGTACTCGGTTAATACCCTTTCGAAATCACTTCGTAATGCATCAATCGAAATCGCTCCAGAAAGGAACTCTTCCCTGTCCACCTCACTATCTACTTGTTGAGAGCGATCATAAATTGTTTGTAAGCGGTTAAATAAAGAATCGCGCCTAGCTATAGCTACGAGTATATTCAATAACATCATTAATTTGGGGTCTGGCGTTTCGGTCCTAGATTCATTCGTTTTTGACGCGCTAGTTTTTGACATTTTTATAATAAATATATATAGGAAATATTAAGGTTATAAGTAAAGTTTTAATTTTAACTGGCGAGCGATGGACAAATACACTAATAATTAAAGCGCCCTAAACACTTAATCTATCGCGGAAATATCAGGTAGAATTATTAAACTGATCTAAATTTCTTCGTGAGCGAGCGGGTATGTAGACATTGTATTATGTATTGCGGTAAGTTATATAATAGCGATAAATATACGGCTTTAAATCAATGTAATAAATATATAATGCGTGTATATATGCGAGAAATTAAGTAAAATATTATATTTAAATGTTTCTAAGCATATATATATGGTTTTAATTATTATTTATTCTGCATCTGAATATTCCAACAAAGTGGCAAAAATGGTAATCGAATTGGAAAGGTTTTAATCCGGGCGAAGTGACCAAAATGGTGAAGCGTGGTTCAAAATTGGAATAAAGTGGACTGTAATCATCATCATCATCATTACAGCCTTTCACAAGTCCACTGCTGAACATAGGCCTCCCCCAAAGAATGCCACAAAGCACGGTCCTGAGCCACCTGCATCCATCGACTTCCTGCGTATCTTACCAGGTCGTCACTCCATCTAGTGGGGGGACGCCCTACACTTCGCTAGCCGGTACGAGGCTGCCACTCGAGAACCTTTCTTCCCCATCGGTTGTCGGTTCTTCGAGCTATATGGCCGGCCCATTGCCACTTCAGCTTACTAATCCGTTGGGCTATGTCGGTCACTCTAGTTCTACTGCGGATATCCTCATTTCTGAGTTTATCACGCAGAGAAACTCCGAGCATAGCCCACTCCATAGCTCGCTGAGCGACCTTGAGCTTCCTCATCCGGCCAGCAGTGAAGGACCACGTCTCAGTTCCGTATGTCATCACTGGCAACACGCACTGGGTGTACAGTCTCG